CACGTACAGCAGCACCTGGAAGATGCTGGGCAAGGACCCTGTAGACTCCTGGGGCTTGGTGAGGAAATTCGGGGTCACCACTGACTCATCTGGTCCACCCAGGAATTCCCACCTGGGGGGCAGGGGAAAGAGCACTGATTTATGAAGCAGCTTCCCTGTGCACGGCAGCTTGGTATGGCCTTCCTTGCACCTGCAGGAAGGTGGCAGGTCTACGGAACAACAAAAGGGAAGCCTGTTTGAGGAGATTTCCCTTTAGTGCTGTGCACGTCACTACAGATGGGGAGGATCAGATGATGTGTGGAGGTTCAGGGGTCTCTGTGGGAAGTGCCATGTGCTCATCCGCTGGCAAAGCTTCCTTACCGTTCTCTCCAGCTTCCAACATGCCCTGCAAATACCGGAAGGATCCAGACTGCTTAGGCTCCGAAACCGGCTTCTCATAATCCTGAAGCATCTTGTAGACATCTGACTCCACATCAATCCCGTTTCTGTTTCTTGGGAGCGACTTTAAGGGGTCGATGCTGTTTAAAAACAAACCAGTACTCAAGCCAAATACAACAGCAGTTATCAGCTCATCACGGATGTACTACCCACCCTCCTCAGATTTAATCCAGGCACAGAAATCCAGTTAAACACCTTTCTCTCCCTCTGTGTTTTTCTACCTCAAGGGAAGCCTACTCTTGGAAAACAGTCATTAAAACTAGGAAAGTTAAACTTGTTCCCTTGTTTGCTTCTATTGAGCAACACAGTTTGGGCTTGACTAGTTACCAGATGCCCTAAGGAGCGAGGGCAGCTGCTCACAAGCATTGTAAATTGCTCTACCACACATGAGATGTGATGCAAAATGGGTAAAACAATGCATTTAATTAATTATGTAGGACTCCAGAACAGCGGCTGCAGTGCCTGGCAGCAGGAGGGCACCAGTTTTGCTGCCAGGCGGGGGCGGGAGTGACAGGATCCCATAAATGCATCTTCCTAAACAGCCTCCCTGCAGGTGACTGAATTCAGAGCATTTGCTGGAAAAACCCCCAGTGTAAACGGCAACAAAAACGTTGGGTCACGCTGCAGTGGGAAGGGCACAAGGAAACCTCGGGGATAAACCAGAGTTCTCAGCGTTGCCCCCTCACATGTGCTCCGACTTCAGCATCAGGCTGTTTGCGGTGGGAAGCTGGCAGGATTCAGGATACAAAGAATGAGGAGTGGCACTCGAAGCTCCTATTCAACAGTTCATCCAATAATCAAAGACATGGTTTGAATTTAAAAATGCTTCAGGTACATGTTTAAGTGTCTTGCTGAGCAGGATGAATAAGTGCTTGTGTGCTTTGCTGAGGCCTAAAAGCACAACAGTTTGGAGGGTTAAGGGCTTCTTTTTTTCTTGCAAAGCTCCAAGGACTCTTGGATCTATGTCGTTATAAAAGCTCTATGTCATTATAAAAAGTAATAAAACTAGCAAGAGCCCTTAAGCCCATTAGACAGCTTAACACATTTTAGCCATCGTCTGACTCATTTTCTCCACCAGCATTATATCCATGCCTGTTAAAATAAAATCCCCTTCAAAAATGATGAAGCGACGTTCTCTGGAAGCAATGTGGAACCCGGAGCCCTTCTGAGCCCAACATCTGTTCCCAAAACACATGTGTTGGCAGGCGGCGGGCCCCGAGCTGCCCTCCAAGGCCAGGCAGCTCCAGCTCCACGACCAGCTGCTGGAGGTGAAGAACCTCCCCCCCTGCAATTCCTGCACTCTCCTTATGTGCCTCAAGTGCCTTCCTGCTTTGCCACAGCCCTTTCATCCATCCATCCACACATTTTCATGGAAAAGGACCTGGGGTTTTAAAAAAAATCCAGCCTGACGCAGCACAAATTCAAAAGAACCTTGTCCTGACCTAATTTTACTCCCCTGCTGCTGGAGCTGAACTCCTTGCTTCTGGCTCACAAAGACAAATAACATCAAATTTTCTTCTCGGTATTTTTTCTGCAGTTCTCCTCTTTCCAAAATCATTAACTTTCCTGGAGCGGTACTAGGAATAAACTGTCTCACAAAGTCACCGAAATATGAATTTGTGTAAGCGTGTAGTTTTTGAGCTGAAAATATACTATCATTGCTCTTTTGTATTTGATACAGACATTATTTCTTGTACAGTATTTTGCCAGTCAGGGAAAGCACAAATCACCATCAGCATGAGACATGTGAAAGCAGCACAGCCCACAGCCTGGCCTGTCTCAAAGTCAGAACCATCCACCCAAACTGTTCCTGGCTACAGCAGTTTGCTGTGTCCTACGGGCATTATTTATTTCTCTGCCTCTTGGACAGCTGCACTGAACAGATCTCAGATTTTTAAACATCCCATTTTATGGGAGTTAACTCTCTGTGCAAAGAGATTCCTAAATCCATTTCATGTGCTTGCTCCTAAACTTAGGGAAGCACGATCCCTGCATGAACTGGAAAGCTGAATTTCTCCTGTTCTCAGTAGGTAGGAAACAGCTGGAGATGTGTCACTAAAACCACCCTTGCATTAACCGTAATGGAGAACCCCAAATGGCCCCGCTGAGCGCGGGGAGCAGGAGCGAGCAGCGCCCTCCTCGTACCTCTGGGAAGGAGCGATGTGGAGCCCGCTCAGCTGGGCTGGCAAACCCGGCTCGGCGCTGCTGTTCGCGTAGAGTCGGGTCGGGTTATTGTACTGCAAATTCAACATCTGTTTGTTATCCACGGGGGTCCCTCCACCAGGAGAGGGAATCGGCTTTTTGTTCAGCACAGGCCCATTATCCTGAAAGAGAAACATCAGAGAAACCCGTGAGGTTTGCAGTTCTTAACACGGAGTACATGGGCAAGCTGCTTTATGATGTTCAGGTTGTGTTAGTGATACTCATGTGTTATCAGTATTAATTTTCCCATTGTGAAGAACAGAGATATGCACCAGGAAAACAAAAGCTCAGATTCTATCTGCAATGGGCTCTTGCTGAATCCGTGCAGCTTTCCTGCGTCACTAACCTGTTTCCCCATCTTTCACCCTTGCCAAGTATTCCGCGTTTATTCTCCTGTAAAAGCAGGACGTGTTATTTGCACAAGAGAAAGGCCTCGAGTCTGCTTCTGCTTTCATGTTACATCATCCACACAACAGCTTTCAGCCCTCTAACTTCGAGGCCTCTGCTCCTGATTTACACGAGTAGAACGGGACCAAATACAGGCCTTGCAGCCGTGCGGACTGTGCAGGACTGCGCAGGGGTTTGCACTTCTTTGGGAATATCCCTCATGCACATAGATCTGTGCTCATTTCAGATTTTCTCCAGAAAAAAACAGTCATTTACAGTGTGGCAAACATTTTGACCAACAAATTAATTTGCTATTTACACTTTCATCGGTTTCTTCACTCCCAAAGCAAATAAATATTTGCAGGGAAAACGAAGGGCAACTTTCTGCCACACTCCTCACACGCCAGAACCCACCAGGCACTAAAGTGCAAGCTCTCGTGTTATTTTAGCTGCACAGAACATTATGCCCCTGTTCCTGAACGGCTCTGCCAGCCAGGCCTGTGCACGGCCCCCGAGAAGCGAAACCTCCTGTGAGACAGAAACCTCCTCCCATGTTCTCATGCAAGAAATAGATCCTTATGTAAGGGCCATTAACCCGTTTCATTTGCTAAGGCCACATCTAGAGCAGGGCTGATTTACAGCAGCCAAGAACGATGCCCAGGACTCGGGTTGATTAAAGCTCATGAAAACACGGGAAAAAACCATCCTGTGAACAAATAACATGGTGGGCTCAACATGGAGCTGCCTTTCCACTGGAATCGGCCAATAAAAGCTAATTGGAAACATGTCCATCACTGGTGCATGGGAGAGCACCCTGCCATGGCCAAGGGTAGTAAAAATGAACAGCTAAGAGAAACAAAAACCAGATCCTGCTAGAAAGGGATTTTCAAAGCCCAGGGCTGAAGTCCTTCCGAAGGCAAAAGGCCCATTGATAAAAACAGGGCTTTTTGCTAATTAGCAGCAGCAAACTGGTGCCTTGGCGTTTGCTCTCTGCCACCAGCTGAGCGATCGCAGCTCCTGCTCCAACCTTACGGGGCTGCCCACGGAGCTCGTCCCGCTCTCCTGCTCCAAACACACCGCGTGCGGGAAACCGGCCCCCGGCATCGGCAGTTATCGAGGAGAAAAGGAATTCCTCTGCCGGGAATAATGCAGTTTTAACTTTTCCCCAATTTATATTTTTCACAAAAATCACAACCAGGTTGCAGGCTTCCAACTCTCAGATTTATGTTATTGTTTCAAGGGGAAAAACACAGAATTTGACCGTACCACAGAGAGGAAAAGGAGGATTGTAAGCGTTTCAGGAGAAGGCAATGGTCCATGCTGGCCAGATGGCTGTCTGTTTCAGGCTGCAGACTCCAAAACAAAACACATCCATGCTTTTACCATCCATTACCATTAATTACCCGTGCACTTGGGCTAAGTGTGCGCTTTGGTCGGGCAAAGCCGGGCGCCCAGATTCCCACTGCAGCCGTGCCGGGCGGGTGCGGGAACCAGGACAAGGTGGGACGTTGGGATAAGCGGCCCGCTGCTCACAGCCATCCCAGCCTCCCAGGACCATTCTCCTTAACCAAAAGCCTGCCAAGGAAGGGGCATTCAGGAGCTCTGCGCGTGGCACCCGGCTTCCTGCAGGGTGGCGAGTCCCCAGCCAGGATCTCCTGCAAGTTACGTTACTAGAGTCCCTAAATCCCCTCCTCTTCCCACTCTGCGGTTGGGAGCAAGGAGGGGAGGAAAAGCAATGGAAGGAGACAAGCAGCAGGCCAGGGCATTTTCCCCGGTGCGCCCCGGCCAGGCACCCCGCTGCCTCCCTCACGGCTCCCGTTTGACACCCTCTTTCCCCGCGGAAGGGCCGTGTTTATGAATTAACGCGAACAGCCAGGGCATTTTCCCCGGTGCGCCCCGGTCAGGCACCCCGCTGCCTCCCTCATGGCTCCCGTTTGACACCCTCTTCCCCCGCGGAAGGGCCGCGTTTATGAACGCGAACACAGCCCGTGCTCCATCAGCTGGAGGGATGGGATGACCTCGCAGATACTGCGGGTATGCCCGAGGGAGCAACTTCCCCAAGGAGGGGAGCTCAACGTGGGATATTTCCAAGGGTTTCTTTGGGCACACGGCGGGCGATGCCCAAGGTCTGTGCACGGCGCTGGGGCACAAACCCCAGCAGGGACCCGCGGCAGCCGCGTTCCCTGCTCACCAGAGCCACGGGCTGCAGCGGAGCCCCGGGGTCCACGCGCTGCTAATGAGCTGCAGCACCAAGCGCACCCATAAACCTCAGCGAGGAAGAGGTTTGAGATGGGGATGAGCAAACCTGGAAAAGAAATTGGCTGCTCTGGCTAAAATAAAATCAATATATTGAACCTGAGGCTGGACTGGAGTCAGCACTAGCTCTTTGACTTCCTTAATGAAAACCTTTCCTGTTGCAAACTCGTTGGCACAAAGGGCTGTTTTAATCACTGACCCTTCCAGCCACAGGTTGTTCCCACTGCGTGCAGCTGGATTGCAGGAGCAAGAGATATATTTTCTTCTCATGTAGATGCTTGTTTAGCTCTAGGAGCTAATGCAAACAAAACAGGGAATTAAATGCAAGAACTAAACGCTACTGGCACTGCATGTGAGATGGGCGTCCGGCTGATATGGGAGGTGTTGCTTAAAGGAATGTTTAGCTAGCAATAGTCAGTCGTGACGTTCCTAACGCAGGACGGCGTATAGAGGAACCCATAGGGTTCCTTTCGGACAAGTGCTCTACAGGCCTCTGAAAATAAGAAACTCTGAAATAAGATACCCGAGAGAGACTGCAAGAAAGCCACCAAAGCAGGAAATGGGAGCTCTCCACTGCCCTCCCAACAGAGGGATCTCCTTTGCCTCGTGGACCAGGAGCCCAGTGCTCCACAGAGCCCAGTCTGGGAGCTAGGGCTGCCAGAAGAGGCTGCTAATGAAAATACTGATATTGCTTGTGTGAAAACAGCATCGTTAACTGAAAAACATCAAAACCTCTCTCAAAATAGAGCACGATGTGAACAAAAAGCCATCCTGGCACCATCGTAGCTGGTAACTCGTTCTGACAGATTAATCAGAAAAACAACATTTGGAGGGGACAGGCCTGGCGCTGCTGTTGGACTCCCGGCACTGGCACAGAGCATGGAGCAGCTCCCAAATAACCCGTGGGCTCCTCCAGGCAGCAACGCTGCCGTGCAAGGAAGGCTGGATGCTTGGAATACAGAATTTCCGCCTTTACTTACAGCGAGATGCCGAACGATGGCAAGTTGTTCAAAATCGTCCTTGGGAAGGGATCAAAGAGCCCGAAATAAAAGTTCTTCGGCCTCCTTGGATCCAGACTTCGGCTCCTGGCAAGCTGCTGTGTCTGGTGCCTGCCCAGCAGAAAACCCTTTTCCCCTCTGTCAGGTGAGGATATCTCCTTTAGCTACAGCACCATGCCCAGACACAACCAAACTAATGAGCATAATTGCTGAAGTAATGAAGGTAAGTTTTTTCAAAGGAAACGCTTCCTATTTCAGGAAACATTCAGGGAAGCATTAAAAAAAAGCATGTGGAAAATCTCCATGGAAATACAAACATAAAAACCAAACGTCAAACATAAAATACGCACATGAGTTAGCCTGCTTAATAGGAGTAACGCTGGGATGCAAAATTGGGAAAACCTTAAATCCGGGGTCCATGTCTAAGCCCCTCTCCTGGCCAGCAGAATTCCCATGCCCTCCTCCTCCGGATGCTGCCGGCACCAGCCCTTCCTGCTCGCGCTCTTCACAGCTGTGCTTTGCAGACCCAAAGACCTAATTGCCTTCTGCGCTCGGAGAGTATACTCTGTACCAAATGTAATTTCTTAATAGTTTGGGGAACTCATAGTTGTATTCTGATACCCACTTTGGTTAAACGTATCCATCTTCAACTTACAGCCTTCCAAAACTTTCACCGTTTTCCTGCCTTCTGCTCTGTTACTCCCAAGCTGATTCAGTTTTTCCTTTTTCAAAGGAGAGCTTTTCTTTTTGGCTGTCCTGAGGAATGCCCTGTTGCCTTTCCAGCTGCGTGCAGCTCGGAGCCTCCAGCTCCGCAGAGGTTTAGACACAGCGCTATGGAGTGCAGGACTTCACGTCCTGACCCCAAGCACTTGCCAGTCCTCAGCTCACAGCGTGTTTGATCAGCCTGTTAAAAAGCCAGAAATACAAACAAAACCATGAATCCAACTTTATGGCCTATCAGGCAAAGAGTAAAGCTGAAGATCCTTACTCTCTTGTGAGGCTAATGTTAGCTCTTTAAAACACCCGTGCAAGCGCTCACGTCCATGGCCTGATTTGGAAGAGTTTTGGGCAACTGCAGGTTCTGCAGGGCCAAGACACCTTTGTCCTGCGCAGGCTCCACAAGTGATCGAGATCCAGATGCCCCTCAGGAATCAGCCTGGGTTCCCAGCCAGACGCTGCAGAAGCCACAGGGTGTTTTTGTGGCTACAGGGCAAGATTTTCAGGACACAAAGAGGAACAGTTTCATTTCCCAGAGAGATGGGCACCTCGCTGTGCCCGGACGCCTGCTGTGAGATGCTTGTTTGCCCGAGGCCAGGGGGACTGGTGCTGCTCACAGTGATAAACACAGAGGCACCAGCCTTAAACAGAGCTGAGTGTCAGCAACAGCCTGACTCAGCTGGGCACAGGCTGTAGATGAGCTTCAGATGCCCCGTCCTCTCACAGCATGTTTGCTGTCAGACTGCTGGAAGAGGGACAGTGAA